CCCAATCATGGGCAAGCATGTATCCTGCACCCAGTTATGGGCAAGCATGTATCCTGCACCCAATCATGGGCAAGCATGTATCCTGCACCCAGTTAGGGGCAAGCATGTATCCTGCACCCAGTTAGGGGCAAGCATGTATCCTGCACCCAGTTAGGGGCAAGCATACATTATGGCATATTTCCTGCTCATGTACCTCCTGCCCACATGTGAGCAAGCACATCTGGTGCAGATGGGTCGAACAAACACAGGAAGGACAGGAACTTATTCTCAGCTGTCTTAACTGCAACCAGAACCCTTAACCTGCAAGGTCTATTGTTCCAGTCTTGGTCTCCCATTAACTTGCAGGGTGTATTGTTCCTGTCTTGGTCTCCCATTAATTTGCAGGGTGTATTGTTCCAGTCTTGGTCTCCCATTAACTCGCAGGGTGTATTGTTCCTGTCTTGGTCTCCCATTAACTTGTAGGGCGTATTGTTCTCGTTCCTGTTTCGGCCTTAACCATGGCAGCTCACACTGTCTATAAACTGAGTTCCAAGGAACTGATCGACACCTTCTGTTCTCCATGGTGCCAAGCAAGAGGCACACACATGTATGCACACACATGTATGCAGGCAAACCACCAACACAGGAAACAAAATAATAAAATGAAAGAATCTGTCAGCAGTCTCCATCTGGAGTTCCTGCCCAGTTCTTTCATTCTTTTCCATTTTAATTCATCAAAATAAATGTTTATGAATGAAGCCTGTAGGGACAAGCATTTTTGATCTCTACCCACTCACAATGGAAAATTGAAGTTACCTCATTTTGTGAGATACTTGCTTTCGATCCCATTGTCTCCGTCTTTTCAACACAAGGGCCTTCTCTGTCTTATTCTGAGGAATGGACTAAGTTAATATCGGGGACACCTCAGTGCGGGCACGTCCTCAGACGAGCCGTCTCCAGAGCTGGTGCAGAGCACGTTTTACTTCTTGATTCTTGAGACTGTAGATGATGGGGTTGACCATGGGAGTGAGCACGGTGTAGAGGACCGAGAAGGCCTTCCGGAGCAAGGGGGGCATGTGGTCTGTGGGGGCCACGTAGACCACAACGAGAGTGCCATAAAACAGTCCAACCACACTGAGGTGGGAGGAGCAGGTGGAGAAGGCTTTCTGTCTCCCCTGGCCTGAAGGTATTCTCAGCACAGTCCTCAGGATGAAGACGTAGGATGTGACGATCAACAAGAAGGGGCCGAGCGTAAGGCAGCCCGAGATGCTGACGCCAGCTCCCCACATGATCCACACCTCCCCACAGAACAGCCCTACAACCGGAGCGAAGTCACAGAAGTAGTGGTCAATCACCCTGCTGCCCGGACAGAGGGACAGAGGGGCGGCCAAGGCCAGAGTGAAGGCCGAGAAGAGGAAGCCACTGAGCCATGCACCGGTGGCCAGGCGGCTGCAGGACCAGGTGCTCATGAGGACAGGGTAGTGAAGGGGATGGCAGATGGCCAAGTAACGGTCATAGGACATGGCAGAGAGCATGAGGCACTCAGCGGCAGCCAGGGAGGCAAACACGTAGAACTGCATGAGGCAGCTGGCCAGTGAGATGCTGTCCCCTCCTTCCAGGAAGCCCCGTAACAGCCGAGGCATGATGTTGGATGTGTAGGCGATCTCTAGCAGGGAAAAGTGGCAGAGGAAGAAGTACATGGGTGTGTGGAGGGTCCTACTGGAGGCCACAGCAAGCACAATGAGGATATTGCCACCGACTGTCACCACATAGATGGCTAGAAAGAGGGAGAAAGGGAGGAAGCCCAGGCGTTTCAGCTCCCCAAAGCCCACCAGGATCAGCCAGGTGGTCTGGTTCTCACAGTCACCGTGGGACTTCCTCATGGAAATCTGAGGAAGAGAGATCTTTCAAAAGGGAGGAAGACAGCCAACAAATAGCAAGCAGTGTTCTATTAGGGCCGCACTCTCTGCTTGGCTTAATGTTTACACATCACGGCAAGTATTGGAGACAAGCCTTATTGTCTCCTGTTAGTTTGAGAGAAATCAATATCCAGTGAGTTTACATCAGTTACTCAGGCTCACTGTGATGGGATTAAGGTTTGACCCATTTGCTTGGCTCCAAATCCTGCGTAACGTACGGTTCTGTAGTGTTTTTCCCCAAACTTTTTCTTGGGGACAGATACATAGACATGAGAGAGAATCCCAGCAGTGAGCTGTGTACCTGGTGGGGACAGCCACACCGGGTGAACGTCTTCACGACAGAGGTGGCCTTATGCTGAAGTCATGCATCTCCCCAGGGAAGCGACTCATTTCAGTCTATTTCTCTTCTAGGATGAGATGGCGAGACAGCTCAGTCAGCTTGCTGTTCTGAGTTTGGTTCCCAGCACCCACAAGAAAGAGATGTGCATCGTGACTCACCTGTAATCCTGGGTGTGGGGAGGGGGAAGAGATAAAGGACCCCTGAGGCTTGGGGCCAGCCATGCTAGATAAATCAATGATCTCTAGGATCAGGGAGAGACCCTGCCCCCCAAAAAGGTGGAAAGTGATTGAAGAAGGTCCTTAATATGTGTCCCCAACTTCCACATACCATGTGCACATGCACACCTGTGAGCACACATATCTGCACACACACCTGCACACACACACACACACACACACACACACACACACACACACACACACACGGCAGTCTTGGGAAACCAGACAAACCACTGTATCATTTATCCTATGAGATTCCGTGTAGGTCTGAGTTAGTCTAGAATCTACTCTTCTGGGAAGCTGTTTTCCTGGACAAGTGGTTTGCTAATGCCGGAAAAGGCTGTTTACAAACTTGGTTCGGGCTCTGGTCAGTTGTGAGAATCTGGAATCTTTACTTTTCTTGACTCCTGCTTTATATTTTCCAGTGCTGGTCAAATGCCCAATCTCTCTCACCTGAGTTCTTTAGAAATTTCTGTCCTAGGGTAGGTTTAGTCTCGCCTTGCAGGCTCTTCCACACCAAATACAAGGAGGATGTTTGATAAGCATGGATGGAAGAAGTAAATGAACAAATGTTTTAGCCAAGAAAGATTCTGGAAAGCTGCTGGAAAATCCTAGTCGGTGACAACTACTACTTGGGACAGAGAAAAGACGGTCTTTTGAGACAAAGTATCACATTGAAGCCCAGACTGGCCCGGAACTGATCCTGTGGTTCAGACTGGCATTGGATTTCTGGTGATTCTTTTGTTTTAGCTTCTCAGATGCTGGGAAGGCATGAACCACCTTGCCTGGCAGAAAAAAGGCATTTAAATGGGAACTAAAGGATAGAAGGGATCTCTAGACCTTCGCATAACTCAGGGAATGTTGGAATTCTGCCACTCAAAGTTAGAGATGGAGCTAAAACTTAATTATTGAGACAAAAATCAGAGAGATATGTATGTGTATGTGAGAGAGAGAGGGGGGCAGACAGACAGACACAGAGAGATGGAGAGGGCTAGAAAACCCAACTTGATATGGAGGCAACAATTTTGAAGTTGAAAATAGAACATTCCGTATCTATGGACGGCAGCGAGAGCACACGGCTTCTGTGTGTCTGCCGTGGTCCTGTCTTTTGCTCTGCTGGCTTCTGTGTGTCTGCCGTGGTCCTGTCTTTTGCGCTGCTGGCTTACATCGTGCAGACACACACGGCTTCTGTGTGTCTGCCGTGGTCCTGTCTTTTGCTCTGCTGGCTTCTGTGTATCTGCCATGGTCCTGTCTTTTGCTCTGCGGGCTTACAGCGTGCAGACACACATCCAGTGTCACGGTGGTAAGGAGACAGAGCATCCTGAGCACTCTCCAATGCATTTGAACATGGTGTACCTTCTATGAAGTAATGGATTCTAAAATCCCCGGGGAGGGAATTGAATTGAGACCGAAATAGGACACTTGATTAGCCAGAGAGGTGGAACAGACTAGTAAAGCTGACCAACTGGACAACTAACCCCAAACTTCTCAAGTCTATAACATGAACTAATGATTTAGATAAAATGGTTACTAATGCCTTGTGGTAAATTTGATGTTGAGCCTTGGTGAGATTATTATATTTTTAATGTTGCTGTTTTAAAAGTTTTTATACTTATTTTATGTATCTGGTTATTTTGACTGCATGTATGTACATGTGCCCTGTGCATGCCTAGTGCCCGTGGAGGTCAGAGGAGGGCATAGCATACCCCTGGGATTGGAGTTACAGATTTTTTTTTTGAGAGAGGGTTTCTCTGTGTAGCTCTGGCTATTTCTGAAACTCACTCTGTAGACCAGGCTGACCTTGAACTCACAGAGGTCCACCTGCCTCTGCCTTCCGAGTGCTGGGATTTAAGGTGCGTGCCGCCGCTGCTGGATTTCTCAAATATGTATTTATAGGATAGTTGTCTCATAAAGAATCACCAAGAGGTTTGCAACGCTGACCACAGGAAACCTTACATAACGCCCTCTACAGAGACAATTAGTAACGAAGTAATCAGGAGAAAGCTGTGGAAAAGGACATAATAATTTCTGTAAAGCTTCATGTAAGCCTGTGAGTTTGAGGCCAGCCTGGGCTACAGAGTGAGATCCAGAACAGGCACCAAAACTACACAGAGACACCCTGTCTGGAAAAACCAAAACAAACAAACAAACAAACAAAAAAGCTTCATGTAAAATGGGGAAGGTGTTTTAGACCTTGTACCCTCCCCACATTTTATCAATGACTTCAGGAGATCTGATAAATATACATGATTAATAAATGTTCAGATAATATGAAACAAAGGGGGAACTAATATTACAGGCAACAGAATGATAGCACAAAGAAATCTTGCAATTTGAAACATGGAAAAAGATGAAAATGAATAGAAGCATATTTAAAAATCTACATTGTAGGTCTTAGCAATGAGTTTGAACAAGAATAAGAAAGGTAAGAACTGATGTGGGAACATTGGTGTAAAGTAATTAGCATTTGGGGCTGGAGAGATGGCTCAGCAGTTAAGAGTGTAACTGCTCTTGCAGAGTTAGGGGTAGGGTGGCTCACAACTCCTATAACTCCAGTTCCAAGGGATCCAATGCCTCTGGTGTCGCGCACACACACACACACACACACACACACACACACACACACACACACACACGTGAGCACACACACTCATACATACATACACATACACACTCACACACATACACACATACATAAGTTAAAAATTAAAAAAGTCTTTAAAAACAGTGGTTAGGATCTTTTTGCTGATTATCATGATTTAGGATGTGAGAACTGCTGAATATGAAGACTCTATGAAGGATGTAGTAGCGTTCAACTAATGGAAGAATACTAAAGCTGCCTTTAGCTGATCAAGGGACTCCTATGAAGACTGGGAATAGATTTAAGTCTACACACACTCAGGGTAGAACAAGGCCCGGGGTACAATGGTACCTGCCTATCCAGGAAACAACCATTGCTGCTTACAGGATTAGTTTTGATTATGAAAATAAGGGACACACAGGCCCCAGGACCAGAGTGCAGGGAATGAAGTTTGTTGGCGAAGGTAGACCTCATCCACAGGACTCTCATAGGAAAGCATAGGAAGCCGAAGGCATCCTGCATGCTCCCTTTTCCATCTGTTTAGGGTGGGTCAGAGCTGGGCTGCTCTGAGCAGAGAGCATTGTTGGCCCAGATGAACTCTAGATATTCAGTGGTAGGGTGGACTGACCTGTTCTTCAGGCGGTAGTCAACGGCTGCTCTTCTGGTCACCCTGGGACTCAACTCTTCTGCCACCAGATAACTCTCTAGGCTTCCTGCTTCTCTCTCATGAAGCCTCCTTCATGTCACAGCCCTTCCCCAGGCTGGAGCACTCACAGAAGATCAAGGTCCCTGTACTGTATGCTTCAGACACTGCTGCCCTTTATAGGGTGGGTAGGGCGGCATCCCTCCTGTGTGAAGGCCGGGGAGGCTCCTCCTTGGAGAAGACATGGAGCTTGGTGCCAGCTGGAGCAGCTGCTTCTGTGCCTTGGTTCTAGGAGAGGCTGCAGCTCTCAAGGGACTGTATGTTACTTTCACTTGAATGCAGTAACCAGCTGTGTCTGAGCTCAGGAAAGACTGGCAAAACACAGGATGGTGAGGCCATCGAGATGGCTCAGAGGGTAGAGGCACTTGCCTCCAAGCCTGATGACCTGAATTTATCTCCCAGAATCCACATGGTGGAAGGAGAGAATGGATTCCCCCAAGTCAGTCTCTAACCTCCATACCAGTGTTGTGGCATGAGCATTTACACACACACACACACACACACACACACACGCACGCACGCACGCACGCACGCACGCACGCACACACACACACATACAGACACACTAAATAAATTGAGAAGCTATATAAAGCTATATAAAGCCAGCACTTGTCAAATATTTTATGCCCCACAGAGCAAACATTAACTTATCTGGTAACTAATCAGTTCTCAGAATCAACCTTCAGAGGAAGTGTGACGTGTGCAGTGATCTGTTCTTGCAGGATAGGGATGGATCAGCATGGCTGTGCACAGAAGGGCTGTGCTAACATCTGGTGTGGGTTAGAAACCTGGTCCCTGCTTTGGTCTTTTATCAGGGAAGAGGGTAGATGAGATGGCCGTATGATCCTGAAGATGACTTGTTCTGTTTAATTTGGTAGATTAGCATAAAGCCAAGTTAGGCTCCTTCGAAGTCAGAATCAATAACAACTAGCTGAGTGACAGCTGGGAACAGGGAACCGCAGAGCCAAGTCCCTGCTATTGGAGAGCGGGTCTGGACCAGGAGAGGGGCCGGCAGGGCTGGGAGCTGGACTCTCCTAATAATAGACTGGGTTGTTTCTTCCTGGAAGCATTGCACAAGTGTCTTGTTTTGGCAGAAGGGCAGAGTACAGAGCTCTGGGTGGGAAAAAGGTGACGAGGAAGGAAGTAATGAGCATATTTTCTCTAAGAATAAAATAGAGAGATGTAGACCTTGGGC